AATTTTCGTGGCTATTTTCTTCTGAATACAACTACAGTGCGCATTGAGGTTGAATTCTTGATCTAATACCATACCCAGATATTTAAAAATTGTTACCCTTTCAACGATGACATTATCAATATAAAGATTCAATGACAGCTGCTCATCTTGCAGTTGTCTTAAACGATACTTGCTACCTATTAACATGCATTTTGTTTTATTAATATTTAACTTGAGGCCGTTGTCACATAACCACTCGTTTATATTTGATAGTTCCTCATTCAAACATTCTGAGATTTTATTAGTTGTCCCAAAACAGTACAACATAGTGTCGTCGGCAGTTTTATCTTACATGTATCACAATATCATTTATGTATAATCATTTATGTACAATCATTTATGTAATCAACCGAAAAAAAAATTGTAATGATGAGGAGAAACCAATGGAGACAACAGGGATTGGTTTTCCTTTTATGCCTTTAGGTGCATCACGGGATCAATAGAATACAAATACCATTACTAAATTTTATCTCTAGGAAATTTATCGGAATTTATCAAGGTTTGGTAGTATACATTTTTTCACTTGTATTTTGAAAGTTTTGGGATTTTTTATTTTTCTAAGGTCGGGTGGGATAAGGTTGAAAAATGTTGGACAGTATTGAAACATCGTTCCATGTTTATATTCTTTTCAATGTCCCTTCTGACGATTCAAACATACAAATTTATAGAAAGGACTTCCATGAAAATCAAGCCAAAAATATACTACAAATTACCTAAGGTACATTTTATTTGTCATAGTTAAAAAACTACATTGCCTTATCATGCAAAAGTATACAGTATACAATTTATCTTATTATTATTAGAAATGCACGTCACACTTAAGGAACCATTTTCAGAATTATTTATATCAATGTGATCCTTCACAACAAATATATCATTTACAAATCAAGGCAAACAAACATTCTCCTTTATAAGATATTATCGAATCTATTTTGGAAGTACATATAACTTTAATTTGATTAAATAGTCAATTCATCCAAATATGGGTAAAGAAAGCTATATAAAAAAGATGCAAAAATCAGTCTAAATAATAATTTTCGTCATCAGTGACTACAATTTTTGAGATCAAAGTATTGCACAAAAGTACTTTTTACAAAAGTGAAAATCGCAGTCTTTTACAAATGAATCTATGATAAATCAGAAATCAAATCTTAGTTGAGAACTTACTTTACCAAATTGTATAGTATAATGAGTTAATATTATTTCTAACAAATCAACAAATACAAATATTTTGCCAAACCTAGAATAAAATGATAAACTTGCAGTTTCTAAAGTTAGATATTGAAAGGTTTTTCAAATGAAGGACAAAACTGACAATTAAGTCAGTATAATATCCAATTTCAATCTCACCTATTTTATGCACTCGACTGTAGCAAATACCAGTTTTGTACATCTTTATTCTAGGTCTAGGAGAGTCCACAGCATTATCATAATGTCAAAATTAGCTTTAAATTAATCATCAAACGTTCATTGCTTCGAGTATTGTGCCATTCAAGTATTACATATACACTAATGGGGGGGGTATTTGCATTACGTATTTTTGATGACATGGGGGGCGGGGGGTCTAGATGTTGATCACTTCAGCAGTAGTTATTTATTTTTTTTCACACATATGGCAACCCACACATTGTCTATGTTTGAAAAATGAAAAACGCATATAGCAATGTTTACGTAAGCATGGGAGGGGGGTGGGTGAGAGCTTTGCTTATTTTTGCTGACAAGTGGGATGGGGGTGAAGAATTGTAATAAATATGCTTACGTTATACTTGAACGGCCCCTATTTTATAAAAATGAGATCTACAGTTATGGCACAAAACATTTGCATATAACTTCATTTCAAGATCATATCTTACTAATAAATAATTTGGATTTCAATATGACATAAGAGCAAGCCTCTTTCAAATGATCATATTTTAGTGACAGAGAGAGAGTGTGTGTGAGAGTACAACCAAAAATATAATAAAACTAATGTATTTGAAAAATATATCAATTCCGGTTTCAAATCATAATTATCCAACATTTCTCACCAACCAACATAGCACCATCAGAAAACGATTGTACTTCCTGCAAAAGTTGTGGTGATGCCAACCTGATTGGTAAACATACACTAGAAGTATTTTCCAGTTCTACTCTTGGGCAAAGTAATTTTCATCTAATACTTGGCCGTGGTACTAATGATTTTGACAATATGCGAACAAGATTCATTCAATATTATATTTTGATAATTAGAACATCTGAAAAAAATTGAGGCTCCTCAGACATTACTTTATTCTGTATTCAAGAAGTCCGTAAAATATGTTCAATTGTTTGATGTCACATGAAAATCCACTTTGACAACATCATAAGTCTTTCACATTAGTAGTCCACACATGATAATATTACCTTATACAATGACTGCTCATACGACCAAGGATTTAACTGCCATCACGACTCCAGAGGCACTGCAGTGATTATGGAAAGGTATCTGAACAAAAATCGGTTGGAGGCAATAATTAGTGAAATACCAAGGTAAAACTAAACATTGAATAGCTCTCTGGAAATATTTCAACATTTCCAAGGATACAAATGATTTCAATACCTTACCCCTTGCCTCCCATGTAGACCTATGACTTTAGAAGTACGTGTGACAGATACCCAAAAGAAAAACAACTATCCCAGCTTAAGCCACGCAGAAAGCTGAAATTAAGCCATCAGGAACCTGTGCAACATCTTCCATTTGGAAGATTCGTAGCAAGTAACTTCCTATATATGGAAAGCAGAAATTACATTCATTTGGTCGAGACAACAAAGATAGATTGGTTTTGGAGTACATACCTACAAAGTCATAGGTCCACATGAAAGGCAAGGCGTAAGGTGTTTTTCACCCGAACTTGGGCATGTCATATGCACCTCCCGAAATATGTTTATTGTTCTGACTCTCACCCTGGAGTATGTGTTTGTGGAGTTGTTTCCGGAATTTGTCTACAGATGGCGCAGTGGACATCCTACTGAACCAACTGCAGATAGAGCTTATGACTAGTTGGAATTTATTTTGTTTGTTCGGAATACGAGTGAACCCGGATAAGACTCAGNTCTATCGGTGGTCAACCCAGGCAAATGAAATGAATTTCTGCTTTTCATATATAGGAAGTTACTTGCGAAAAATCTTCCAAATGGAAAACGTTGCACACTTGCCTGATAATTTTACTTCAGCTTTCTGCGTGGCATTAGCTGGGTTAGTTGTTGTTTTTCTGTCGGGTATCTGCCACATATACCTACAAAGTCGTCGGTGAGAGGCAAGAGGTAAGATGTTTTTTACCTGAACTTAGGCATGTCATGTATATACTTTTTTGAAAATTGTAAACAACGTGTTTTTTATCTTTTACGTACACCAACTGCATACTTCTTCTTCAGCTTTCTGCGTGGCATTAGCTGGGTTAGTTATTGTTTTTCTGTCGGGTATCTGCCACATATACCTACAAAGTCGTCGGTGAGAGGCAAGAGATAAGATGTTTTTTACCTGAACTTGGGCATGTCATGTATATACTTTTTTGAAAATTGTAAACAACGTGTTTTTTATCTTTTACGTACACCAACTGCATACTTCTTATAATCTAGAATACTTTTGATATTATAGGCATGAATCTTGATATTAACCAGCAGAACCACTTAGCAATTTGGAAAGTATTTTAAGAATATAATTTTGGGGTAAATCCGTACTTCACTCCCGAATTTTTTGCCCTTCATTTAATGAAGAAATTGCTAGCTTAACATTAAGCTAGCAGAACCCAACTAAAAAAATAATATAAACAAAGTTTTTAAACTTGATAATGGAATAAAACCCGAAACCAGCTGTAAAAATAAAATAACTAGTGGAAATTAGACAAAAGTGTTTTTATTCATTTCACTAAAGCAAATAAACACTAGCATTCATATACATGAATGGATTAACAAGTATGACATCATTATCGATGTCCGATTTTTGTAGTATTTTTTTCATAACTATCAATTTTAAAATGTTTCGAACTCAATTTACTTGTATTTTCCATTTTTCAAGCAGTAGTCACAGAATTGTGCCAGAATAGTAAGCAGGATATCAACAAACTACTTCAGTAACAATGATTTATTCTTCAATGCAGACAAAACAGGACTTATTCTTATTCACAATTGGCAAAACCGAGTGGAAATCATATATTTCATGATGAACAATGTGACCCTAACAAATACTGATCACAATGTATCCTTGGGAATCATTCTAGATGAGTTCCCCAACTGGAAAGCCAATCAATTTCAAAACACAATTCATTCAAGTATATCTCCATGAATTCACAAACAGTTTTAACAGAGTCAATTGCCAAATATACAGTTCATTTTTTTAATGTCCCCCCTTTTATTTTTTGAACGAGTCAACTCAAAAAGTTGAAATTTGGGATGATGAAATTAATGCATGAATACTTCATTTCAAAAAAGTTTTAGTAGTTTGTAGTAGTTGTAGTAGTTTGTAGTAGTTGTAGTAGTTTGTATTAGTTGTAGTAGTTTGTAGTAGTTGAAAATATTTTCATTATATTTTAGGGTTGTGAAAAATTAGTCAAGAGCTTCAAAAAGATGTGTCATAAGACCCCACTTCCATTTCCAAATTGTTTAAAAAGAGAATTATGCAAGGTATTTTTTAAGCAGTACAGTGGTCTAACTTTAACATCAGTTTATACTTTTGAACTGTGTATGTATGTGTTCAAAAATAAATCAACTTTTACAACGAATCTAAAACTCCATCAACTTGATACTAGAACCAAAAACCATTTTCATTTGCCCTTAGCTAGATTCAAAGTAACATCATGTGAACCGGAATACATTGGTCCAAAGATATATAACCACCTTCCACTTCATTTAAAGGCCTTGAACAATTTCTCTGTGTTCAAAAAATCATTAAAGAATCATTTATTAAAACATGTGTTATGCTTTGTAAATATTCTTTGAATAACTCGTATTCATCTGAGTTTTAGAGTATGAGTCTGTCTTCTCTTTTTCTTTTTGAATTTATATTTAGCATTGACACATCCTACCTAATTTTATTGTCTGACTGGAAATAATCAATTTTTATTATTATTAAGTCCCTATCAAGAGATGAAACTCGACAAATTGTATCAATAGAGTAAGTTTGTTTTTTGAAAGCATATTTGACTGAGAATCCTATTGCACACCTACTCTTTTCTCTCTGTCAAATAAAATTTATAAATGAATAAATGAAATCCCTAGTTTCAATGAAAGCTTTCTCTTTGGTTGCTTTTGCTATCTTTACATTAAGCTAACTGAACCTAAGATATCCCCATTAGATGAAGTGTAAAAACTTGGCAACAGAAAATAAAATTATCCCAAAAATATTCGATTGAAATTGATTTTGACTCCAAAGTGGTTCTTGTGGATTAACATGAGTATTATCATCTGTCGCTGAAACAAGCTTTCTTGCTATCATCTCACAAAAAAACAAACACCCCATACATACCTTACTGCGTTTGATATGGATATCTATTATTCCGCTTAAAGAAAGAATCCGATTGGGTCTACATCAAATGTTGAGGGAATATCGGGGGATTGAATGTGTTGTCTCTGTACTGGTGATTGTTCCTTATGTGAGAACTGAGATTTCCAGACTGCACAAAAGCCTTCTCGCAAAAGTGACACTTGAAAGGCTTCTCGTCAGTATGTAGGCGAATATGATTGTTCAGATTTCCAGACTGAGTGAAAGCACGATCGCAATGAGGGCATTTGAATGGTTTTTCACCTGATGACAAAAAAGAGTTTTCCATTACTTTATTTTTGACAAATCCCTAAACAAAATCTATAAAACTCATCAAGTGTCAAGCTTATAAAGTATGCTATTTTGGTGTTTATCAGTGCTCTCTAAATTTGAAATTATTTTCAATTAATAAGTTATTGTGAGATTTTCACAGAACAGTAAAAACCGTAACAAGTGGTTCACTACTCCCTCAGACAAATCAAATCATATGACCTTCTACCTACTTAATTATTAATAATTGTTCCTCTGTTCAGATATAAACTAATTCAAACAGTATAAAAAATACAAATTCATTGAATGTAATAAACTAATACACATTTCCACATTAGAAAACAGATTTGATAGAGGGGTAGAATTCAATTCTATTTGGTCATTCAGTAAATTTTCAAAATTATTGTACTCATGTCCCACTGCCAAAAGATGATTAGCAAATGTGTAATTGGTTTTGACATTCAAAAATCTATTCCAATGTTCTATTATTCTTTGGAAAAAGGTTTTCCCCTTTTGGCTAATATAAACTTCTGGGCAAGTCAAGTTATATACTCCTGATCTATCCGACACTGAAGTGTTGTCTTTATTGTTTTTGACAAAGTTGTTCAAATTGTTATTTGTGTGGTTAATTACTTATTGGTTATTTGATGTATAGTAGCATAGACCTGGTGAATAACTTTTTCCCGTAGTTACCATTTTTTCACCAGTAAAATGTGAAAAAGAAATAATATTAATGCAAACATGAAATATTTAAAGTCCTCAAGTTGTAAAGGCATCTCAAATGCCTTACTGAAAAGAGTTTTTGAAAAACTGCTTACACATCTAGCTTACCTCAAAAATGTATCGATTCAACGAGGAACATTTCTCTTAATGTTATTGTTTCAAATAAAAAGGTGATAAAGAAAAAAATAGAGAAGTATGAAGCAATAATTCTATTTTCAAGTATTGGAAAGGTTTTTGAAGCAATTGTGAATAATACACTCTCAAATCACTTGATTAGCAATAGCAGATTATCTGATTGCTGAAAGGGAATCACAAAAACAAGACTACTGCACATTTATGCTGCACCTATGTATGTTTATAAATAATGTTTCAAAAGCACTCAATTGAAAACTCACAGCTTAAGGGATGTTTATAGATTTCTATAAAGCATTTCATGAATTACAAAGATAAAGGGTAAGGGGTGTCGCATATGAGTGGTCTTCCTCACAGAGGTTTGATGTTCATTGATATTCGGGTACCTCAAAGAATCAAACTTATTTATACTTCATCTAAATGATCAAATAATCTGTAAAAATCCAGGAGATAACAGACCTTTGCCGATACCCACCTTCCATTTGTCACTAAAAATAGGTCAAATGTCACAATGAAACAAATGTACACTAGTGTGTATAAGTGGATTAACAAGAACAGGTTATGCCTAAATGTTGACAAAAACAAATATAACAATGTTTAAAACAAGTCGATCATATCACTTCAAATAACATATTATTTAACTATGCTAAATGTGTATTTCAACAGTATTGCCATTGGTATATAATGAAATCAATAGCGGGAAAGCCACTGCAGCAGTGCTTTGCGACTTATCCAAAGCTTTTGACTGTGTCAATCACAGCATATTGCTTCAGAAACTCACAAGATATGGTTTTAAGGGACAACAGTCATATTTGGATTAGTTCATACCTTTCTGATAGGAAACAATTTGTGAGAATGTCTTCTAACTCTAACCTCAAGGCTCTGTATTAGGGTCCTATACTGTTTCTGTTATATATTAATGACTTAACCAACATATCGATTACAGGAAGCTTGACCATACTTGCTGACGACACATTATTGTAGCATGACAAGGACAAAAACAGATTTCATAACAGAATGTGCCAAGACATGAAAAAAGTGAAGAATTGATTTGACTCGAATCTTTCATCATTGAATACCAGCAAAACAAATATATTAGAATTCAAGTGTAATATACCTGATATCCCCTAGACAATAACACAATAAAAAATAACTCCACTTTGAAACTTTTGTGAGTTTATTTAGATGAAAATTTAAAATTCTCTCAGCATATTGCACACATCAACAAAAAACTGACATCAGAATGTTTCACACCTACAAACATTTCAAAGGAACTGGGGTTTGCTGCAGCAAAAGTGGTGTACTATGCCTTGATAGACTCTTATCTAAGGTATAGTATATCTTTTTGGGGTGTTTGCAGTAAACAACTTATGCAGTCGGTTTTTGCCTTGCAGAAAAAAGCCATTAGCTACTTATGTAAAGCGAAACGGTGTGATTCATTTAAAGCCCTTTTTCAAAAACATAGAATCCTTATGGTTATTTCAATATTTTTATTGGAAACTGTATCGATAATACATAAAAATAGGGAGAACTATGAATCTACAGCTACATACCACACAAGGTGGTAAAATGGACTGAATGTACCAATCCCGATAACATGTTTTGTTCGAAACTCTTTGATATATCATGGAAACAGGATATATAATAAACTTCTCAATGAAATCAAAGATACTTCTTTTATCATATTCAGAAAAAGTAAAAAATTATTAAGTGATACAGCCTATTATGACCTACAAGAATATTTTGACGATGCCCTGTGATTTATAATGTGTAGAATTTGCGATTTTACTGTGTTTAAAACATATTTTTATTCGTTGTCCTAGTTCTTACAATTATACTTCATATCTTATACTTCATGTTTATATTAACATATTTGTAATTCTATTTATGATATTGTGTTTGTTCTTTAGATAGATCTTTAAATAAAGATCTATCTGTGTTTGTAACAAGAATTCTATTCTTGAACAATAAACATATTATCAATCAATCAATGTTAAATCTTACCTGTATGTACCCTCATATGATTGACTAAATTGCAACTTTGAGAAAAAGATTTCTGACATATTTCACAAATGTAGGGTTTATCTCCTGTATGAGTTCTCATGTGGATGGCAAGATTGCTGTGGGTGTTGAAGGTCTTTTGACACAAGGTGCAATATAGACGATCTTCGGGTTCACGTTTTACCATTTCATGCTTGAGCAAGTGCGTCCTCATTCGCCGAAAAAATTTCTTACATATTGGACACTTTTCTAGAGGACTCGATTTTCTTCTGGTATAAGTATCTTCTGCCCTCGAAGCTTCATCTTTAGAAATCAAGCGAACTTTTTCTCGAGGTGACCTGAGAAATTTATAAAAAATAAACAATCCCAATGTTTAGAACTTTTAACAAACTATTGGCAAAATAAATACAGATAAAGATCAGATGACGATAGTCATGTCACGAAGTGTTCTGGCGATGTATTGAATCTATTGGAGCCTCTGGAGACACCCTACATTTTGTTTTATGAGAGAAAGGACATTGGCAGATCAACATCTTAAGATGATGTGGTGACTTCATTTATTCCACTGGAATAAATGAAGTCACCCCGGAGCGCCAATTAATTTTTATTGTTGTTTTTATTTTTATCGTTCTTTTTTCTTAAATAAAACCTTTTTAGGTATACAAGGCAATTTCTAGTTCCCAAACTACAGTTTGAATTTGTAGAAAGATTTTTATTAACAACTTTTCACAAGGATAAAAATAAAAACAACAATAAACAATAATGTTTATTTACATTTACGCAATTTCAATATGAATGAACAATTCAACATCACATTGTAAAATTACTAATAAATATTAATACATTAATAATAATAGTAACACTCTTAATTTAAAATGTTGAATTATCCAAGATTTGTGCAATCACATTTAATAATAGTTGAGTTTGTACAAACTTTCTTTAGACTTCTCAATTATATTCCCTTGAGATTTTGATAATCACTGTATTTGATAGCATTTGATAATTTGATAAATAAAAATTTACATGGGGAAGGGGTTCAACTGATTACACTAGGGATTCTATGCATCTTTTTCCAACTATTTAATGCTGGAGGGTTTGAGGAATTTGGAAAGCTTTGTTTATTAAATTTGATAATTAAAAGTTTATAATGAACAAAAGGGATAACTTCGATTTTCTAAGGGTATTCATGTTTGTTAACAAATTACCTATTTTTTTAATTGTCAAATCTATTTTCTGGAATTAGTAAATGAACATTATTATTATTATTATTTTCAATTTATCTTAAATAAATCATCATTAAACTATTTTTTAATAACTTTAAAGTCTTTAAATATTATAATTTGGATAGCTGTATGTTATAATCATGTCATGTTTCCAATAATATATTGATCAATGTCTGCCAAATTATTTATTTTACTCAAGTAATTTGGTAGAATTTCATATATTTTTCCTTGAAACCAAATTTCATATAATTTTAAAAAATTTCATGACTGACGTGTCAATTAAGTTTCATATTGAAATGAAAGTCCATAAAGTATTTCATTATCTAATGGAATTATTTAAAGAAAAGTGAAGGTTTTGATAAAAATTCATGCAGACCTTGTTATACTCTGAACTTTGGAAATATTGTCATCTTGTGAAGGGGAATATTCTTTTTCGAATAGCCTAATTTTGATTTGAGGTCTCTTTTTCTTAACAGGTATGATTGAAATTTCCGGACCAATGGAGTTTATCAGTTCATCATTTCCATAGTCTCCCCCTCTCAGAGGATCCTCGACGATATCTTTGTACTCATCCTAAAAAATAAAGTTTACTACCTCTGATATTTTTATAGCAAAGTAATATCAAGAAATCTATAAAATTTTAATGATCAGTAATAAAAGATCCAGCAAACAGAAAATCAATAGGAAGTATTTTCCATTTCTTGATGTAATTTAAAGTGAGAAAGTTATTGAATTCTTTTATATTGCTGAAAAGTAACTTTACCTCTTCTAGACAACTCTCTTCATCATTAATTATAACCACAGGTTCAATCGTTGTATGGAAATCATCACCATCATCTCCAATATCCATAATTCATTGATATCTGGAAAAAAGTCGCATTTTGAAACTAATATAAAATATAACAAAGCATTTATTTTCGTTGCAGTTAATAAAATGGTTTAAATTTAAATACTTTATTTTTGTGGCTGTCAAAAAGCAATAAAATAAACAAAACAATTTTTGATTAATTATACACTTTAATTTCAAACTATTACCTCAATAGTTTCATAAAAGTCACTGAGTAGTACACGTAACAAATTATCAAAAACAATCAAAAATAATAAATATCACCAAACTAACGCAATTATGATAAACTATTCTTTAAAAAATATACAAAAAGTGCGCTTTTGCTGGGTGACTTTACTGTCAAATAAAAGCCGTCCTTTTTATCGATCCCATTTAGGCATATTTTCTGGAGAGTACAACAGGCCAAGTGACAACTGATGAAAATTAATGTTTTTATTTTACAACTTTCTTCTAAAGTTTCAGTTCACCTACGAATCACCCTCAGATAGAAAACATTTCTTTGTGGATTGAAAGTGGAAGGCAACTAAAAATTAACTACAACACAATTTTGGACTAAATTAATATATTCCACGTTCAAATTTCCAATGATTGTTACAACTAAATTTGTAATACATAATAGGAAAAGGAAAATATTCATTTGTAGAAGTTTGCACTTACATTAGGTCACAGAAATGATTGAAATGCCATTATTCAAAATTATAAATTCGTTAGTACAACTGTTTATTTACAGTGTGAATTTACAATAAAAATGTTAGTACTAAGGTGGTAGTTCAATTAAATTCGAATTCAAGTTTTAAAATCTTGTTCAAGTTCAATTTATCGTTATTTGAATTATAGCGTTTTCCATTGCTAGAACCAGCACATATTTAGTGTATTTCTGTCATCTTTCCTTGCGTTGAGAAATGAAGGACATAAAAGATACTGAACATACACAGGTTTCAGGAATGAAAAACTCTATTTATTTATAGATAGATAGATAGATGATAGTTAGATAATTTATTCAACTACGATACATATCGTTTGTGGCAGGTCATATAAATAAACAGTCTTATTTTAACACTAGGTTGTGAACATCTACACATATTTATGAGTAAACACTTAGACAATCAAATAAGAAAACAGTAAAACAATAACAAACAAATAATTTCACAAAGAGGCTAACAATATTGTGAAACTGCAAAAATAATTATATTTTCAATACCAAAATAATAAGTAATATAATCTTCGTATATGGTACCACTTTGGAAAATTGGAGGCATTGGAAATGCACCTTAACAGAAATATCCGTTTATGAGAATTATAAAAGGTTTCAGAATAATTCCAAGAAAATCTATTAGTATCTTGCTGTTGATATCATAAGCATGACATCTATTTGAACAACTCAATTTGGCAACATGGTCTATTATCTCGTAATCTTTATATTTTTTCCGTTGGCTACATTGATTATGAGTAACCATTAAGGTATATCCGTTGGTAGTGTTGGTGTCTGTCGTTTGTTCTTTCTGCTTAAAGTTACAGAATCGTCAACATGGGTGAGTGTTGTCTTCGGTACATTTTTTAGTTTTGGTGAATAAATACTAGTTTTTGCAGTGGTAATACAATTGAACTAGATTGTGTTATTTCTAAATTTCGTGTAGTATTGATAGTTACATCATATTTTTCAATCATTTCCAAACTAGTTCATTTTCATTCCACAGCAACGCCTTCATGAAATGTGTCACTCAAAAATAATCTTCAATCATCCTCGAATGCGACAATGCCTGAACAGTTTTTGTTTGAAAAATCGGATCAACAGTTTAAAAACATCTTATTAGTGTGTGTAATTTTAAAATTTCTCCTAATTGCCATATTTCGCTTTAGGCAAACCCCGTGGATTGAAGACTGCAAGAAAACATGTGAACCATCGTAGACAACAAAGATGGGCCGACAAAGACTACAAAAAGGCACACTTGGGAACACGGTGGAAGGCCAATCCTTTCGGAGGAGCTTCACACGCTAATGGAATCGTACTTGAAAAAGTGTAAGTTTGGTGAAATATTGTTTGGTTAAGTTATGCATTTAGAGACCGCCCAAACTATTCCTTATTGGTTTGTTGGCGTCAATTATATTATGATGCTATATCATCTTTTGCGCTCTGAACCATTGGATAGACGAAATGATGGTCTATACGCTCTGATATGTGCGCTACAGTTGAAAAAATCCGCACCAGGAGAGTAATTGTAATCTTTTGCGCAGGATTTCCTAGTGAGTTGGTTTTTGTGAATTCCAATCACAGGAAAATTCTGTGCGAAATGTTGCTTTCAATCACCATATTCAGCTTGTTTTGGTAAATTACAGAATTATAATTTTGTAATTATTGGAAATGTACACAAAATATGGTGCTAGATTTTTTAAAGATTGTATTTCCTTTTTACATTAATTATCTCAAGTTTACACAGAGATTCGAAACCTACTTCCCTGTTTGCAAGACAGGCGCATTAATCATTGGAGCCAGCAAGTAGAAATGCCATTGAGTCACATCTTAAATTCAGTCTTTTGGGATATTTATGCAAATAATGTGAAATTTATTAATTATTATATTATTGGTGATGAAACTTTTCTCATGCTAGAGAGCAATTTTTCAAAGTTTAATTCTTACTCTTTAGAGTTTAGTGAAACCAAAAAATGCATGTGATATCTGAAGGAAATCTATTGCTATGCACAAATCACATTAATGTATGTTAGCGTTTTCTATTACAACATACTCGTCAGTTCTTTTAATGTTTTTGGCAGCTTTTTGAGAGGCAATGGTTTCTTTGAAATTTGGCGTTGGGGCCTTTTCTTGAATTGGATCACCTGATGATAATTGCATCCATTACTTACATTCCCTACTTGGCCGCTCTGAAGTTTTGTTAACGTACATTTTATAGATGTGTCTATAAGTGTAGTGCTAGTGTCTTCTGGCATCTGCATCACATTGAGATATTTCCTATTGAGCTTGGTGTGACTAATATTCAACTGTTTTAAAAATGAATCTCTAGTTAAAATATGTTCTTCCTTTAACCAGCTGCCACCTCTATGAAGTCTAAACTTGTGCGAGTTGTGGATTAACGAGGTCTTACCTTATAACATGCGATCTCTAGCACGTTAGACGATTTGCTGTGAAAATCGGTCGTCCTCCCTCGCAGATTCAACCACTTACTCATAATGACTAATTGACTGAGTGGGCAAACCGTCCACGTCAACCCAACCGGCTACTGCCTTAAGTGTGGAAACTTGAAATTTGCCAGAATACAAATTTTAGAATAATTAACATTATAGATAACAGTCCTAGTTTTGCAGCTGCGTTAGTGATGCTTTCTTTTTTTAGAGGAGTTGAAGCCAAACAACCTAATTCTGCTATTCGTAAGTGCGTAAGAGTCCAACTTATTAAAAACGGTAAAAAAATTACCGCATTCGTACCTAGGGATGGATGTCTAAATCACATTGAAGAAAATGACGAAGTCCTAGTAGCAGGTTTTGGACGAAAAGGTCATGCTGTTGGTGATATTCCTGGAGTAAGATTTAAGGTAAGCAAATTCTCAAAACACTTCAGTTCTGGAAAAAAGTGTTGAAAGTCTGTTATCAAATTAACAATTCTATTTGATTGTTTGAGGTAATTTTGTTCAGAAAAATTTTGCCTTTTTATACAGTATTTATCCAGATTATGTGTTTGTTCAATGTGTTCAAGACAAAGAAGGCTCAGTAACTGAAAATCTAGCATTTTGTACACTTGAAAAGTGGTTATAAGATTTTTTGTTTTTCAACATATTCAATAATAATTTTGGGCAGAATTGGAATGAAATTGGCGCATTTCTGTTCTTTTTGGATATTCCAATCAGAATTTCCTGAATTTCATAACAATTAGATGAGCTCTTCAATGGACAACTTTTTACAAATTTACCTGACTTTTTATATCTTGTGATTTTCACATTCTAGCCCTCCTTATCTTGACCACAGCATATATTTTGATATCGTTATAATTGAAAAATATTCATTATGGAATTTTTCAGCAGTCGATTTAAGCCATAGCATACACATTTTAAAATCATTTGAGATTTCCCAAAATAGTTTCAAAACTCAACAGACGTTTCATTATACAGTAGCTTCATCAGGAGTGTTCAATGTATACATTAAACAAGATAGGTTTTGTGAAGTACTTGTCTCAAGTTAATCAAGTTGATTTTCTTTCATTGCTAAAAAGACTTAACGTTTTCATGATGAAGATAAATAGAGCCAATCCTATGAAAT